CAGGTGTGCCCAACCCTGCACGTCTAGCTACCCCACATCACAGACACTGGAACCCTGTGTACCCCTTCAGAGATGCAGGCAGCTGAGAAGGGACATTTGAAAAAAAGCAGAGAAGTTTTGAAAACTGCCTGGCAGGCAGCAGTCCAAAGGAACTCATTCAAAATTGAATTGCCTCCGTGGAAATTTCCAATTTTGACAAATTGGTAAATGCTGATGAGGAACCTTTTAATCCGACTTTTCTGATGATCTCCATTACTCAACCTGTGATTGATTTAGACTTCAGACACTACAAATTCTCTGCCAAGCAGCCTACTTCAGCTGAGCCAGCCCTTCTACTGAGGAACAAGTCAGCAGGACTTCAGACCATCAGAAAGGGTATCCCAGCAGCCGGAGAAATAGCATAATGGAGTGGACAAAGGCATTGATACCAACTCTAACTAAGCTCTGAACTGCTCTTCTAATTTTTGATGAGTCAGTGATGTTGACATTTTCCAGTGTGCATAATTAATGTTGGACGGCTGAAGCCAGATTTGGTAAACACCTGTGCTTCACATTACTTACACTTCATTTAATCCGTCTGCCTCAGCTTCCCAAGTATGGAAAAATGAAGATAATGAAATTATTATCTTCAGAGAGAGGTTATTATAATTAATGTTTGTAAAATCCTAAATGTAATTAAAGCACACAGTAAACCTTCCAGCTAAGGATAGATAAGGATCTATAAATCTTCTGCAATTTGGTATATTTGTTGCTTTTTCTTACTTTTTCATTTTTTTTCAGTATTGGTATCATGACAGTTCAAGTAAGGAAAGGGAATGAGAAGAAACCAGTGCTTGAGAACCATGTGAAACATGGTCTTTTTCTTCCTCTCTTTATTCTTAACTTTCTTGACTCTTTTTTTTGTCGGTTTACCTTCGGCTTCCATCTTTTGAGAAATTGGCCTAAGCTAAGTCAGATAAGGCTTCTCTTTTAACGTTTATGACCAAGGCAAGTTAGAAACAATGCTATAATAGCATTTGCCGAATTTCAGAGCACTTCATGTGATCCTGGCATCTACATGTCATACTCTTTGCCCGAGACTTCTTTCGCCTAAAAGAAGCATCAGAAATAGAAACTATACCCTTACCCTTTCCTGTTCCCATTTCTTTGTTTAACCTTCAATGGCAGTGATTCAGAATAACTTAAGAGCTCACAGGTATAAATGAGTCAGCCACCGCTCCTCCCAACAGAGGGTTCTTCAAAAACTAGGCTGTTTTTCAAAAGCACTAGGCCTCCATTGATTTAAGCACTTTTGAAAATCAGGCCTTTTAGTTATATGTTTAGATGTCCATCAAAGAAAAAGATTTTATAATTCTAGTGGAAAAAAACTTGTCCTTAATTTTTTTCAAAAAAATAGACTCTAGATTTGTACACGAACACATGTTGCATTGAACATTTTTTAGCTGAGTACATTCCTTCGGCTTTTCCACAAGCACTGTTTGAATCTTCAGTGGGCTAAGTGTGATGACTTGTGCTGTTCTTGACAGAATGTGAGTTATAAAAAGTCTGTAACTGTGGTGCCTGCTGGATGAATTCTGATTAGAGAGTCCATCTGAAACTGTGCTTTGTGCCTCTGAATTGTTTTCAGTAAGTTAACTAGCAGGACAAACTGGTATGTTTTAATACAGACTTTATTTGACAAGCATGTATTCTTTCAAAGCAATAACTACAATACTTGTTGTAAAAAAGAAGGATTAATTTTTTCTTTTTGTAGACACTGATTCTGAAACCCTGAGTTAAAATTTGTAATTCACAGGAATCTTTATTTTAACACTATGTAAAGTAATAAAGAAGAAACAGACGCAAGGCTCAGGCTGCTAACACTAACAGATGGTAACAGGAATAATTCAAGGTTTATTACATTTCAGCTGCTTTTGTCTTTAAGGACCAGTTTCCTTGTATGTAGGGTATGAATAGAAACTTAGAAAATATGCAGAATTTTGAGAGAAAATAGGAGGCAGAAATAAAAATCTGCCAGTTCCTCTTTTGTGTACTTTCCTCTTTCTTTTTTTCCTGGCTTCCTTTGTTCTGTTTTCTTATCCTTCCTTTTCCCTCAGTCTTCTCATCTCTTGTAACTTTTCAGCTTCCCTTGTCCCTTTCATACCCTGTTTCAAGACGTTCTACCTTGTCCCTTCACTCTCTGCTGCAGCGTGGCTCTTGCCTGAGGAGAAGCAGCCTGGTGGAGCGCCTGCCGTCAGGATGAACTCTCACTTCGGGGGAGAGCAACTGGTTGCATTGAAACTCACTGCTGTCTCCATTGCCTGGAGCTATGGTGGTTTAAGGCAGTTTTGGCAAAAAAGAAATAAAGGTGCATGATTAATTTGCATCCATTCCCATTCCTGAGGCTATCGGGGATGAATTTGCCCCAGGACTTTTTATATTTACATTGAAGTGCTTATCTTAATTATGACAACCTGAAATGAAGCTCTTGCAGCTGAGGATCTGTGAATAGCAAGCCTCTTCTTCTTCCCATCCATCCCCCCTCCACTCCCCAAGTCTTGATCCTTCACTCCAAGGATTTGAAGTGATTTGAAGTGAGTAATGCACACCAACAAGGGGAATCTACAGACTGTTGTAACAGCATTCAACAACATCTTGCGGTCAATTTGTTTGTTCTCAGCTCTGTCTTCTTTGCTCATTTCTGATGGGAGGATGGATCCAGAAGTATGTAGAAATAATATGATAGAATATGGGACTTTTTTTTTAATTAAAACTTAAAATGCAAGGCAAGCCCGAAGATTCCGTGTCCTGTAGTTTACTATATGCAAATTGTAAAGTCATTCCCATGTGTCAAATAATATGTCAGATGTAAACAACTGATAGCAATAGGGTGAGGTTACAGGAGGACCATGCTTCCAACCATTTGGGGCAGGGGGGGTGCGGGTTAAGATTTGCCAAGTGACTTTGTTGCCTATAGTAGCGTTCCTTCAGATTATATCAGTACAATTGAAATTAGCCTTGGTTCTCTGCTGTTGGGATACCTGATTGTCAATCATATTTTTGTAACACCAGTGTTTTTCATGCAATTGTAATTAAGATTTTCTGTTGTCATTATAGTACAGGCCAAATTTCACAGTACAGGCCAAATTTCACAGTTAGTCCCTGCAGCACTGTTTTACCCCCTGAAGAGTAGCTCTCTTGTCACTTTTCCATTTCATCTCAGTCTGTGCCAGGTAACCATTTGGAGAGAATAATCTTTTTTTCTGGAGAGTCTCCCACAGGCAACATGCAGTCACTAGTCTTCTGAACTGTACTTGTGGTTTCTGTATATTTCAGCCAGACCCATACTTTATCCTTGTTGAATACTAAGAACCGTGCAGACTCAGCACCTCTTGTTGTCCACTGACTTAAAATTAGTTTGTAAGATGTTTGGAGTAGAAATCAACTCAGCTTGTGTATGGATGCTGCATATGGGATTACAGAAGTCTCTATCACACAAATAAACATCTCTCAGGACGTGCAGGGGAAGTGTGCTTTTGAACTTTCAGAGTGACACATAGTAATAGTCAGCCTTTATTTATTTGCTTAAAAAGCAGAGACGATCCTGGAAAGAAGATTTTTTTGGGTAGGAGAGGCTTTACTAAGTCCTGTATTCTAATAAGCACATATCTAGTGTTCGGCTGAAGAAGGAAATTCAAGTTTCCTTAAAGATGAGAGTGCAGGAACATGCCTCCCCCATGCTCCAGAAGTTTTCTGAAAGTACTGTATCACCTCATATCTGCTTTGGGTGCAGCTACATCCCTTTGAAAATACACTGCTCCCCATGCAGCCGCTCACGGAACACTCTTGCCTTTGCCTGGTGGCTGGTAGAGCATCTGCTGTCATGGGTGAGCACTGCTGATTTCTCCCAATAGAGGGCAGCGATTATACTGCTGGCCTCAATACAATTAAAAGTAAAATCTGCCTATGCCACATATTTGTCAAAAGGTAGCTATGTTCCTAAAGGAACATAGAAACTATTAACTCTCCATATTAAATGATGATTAAATGATGATTAAATATCGAAATCATAATATAACAGCAGGATCACTCATATAACAGGCAGCTATATTATTTTTAGGAGTGGGAAATTCTGGGGTGAGTCAAGTTGCAGCTAGTTGTATTCAAATACTTCTTTTCCAGCCAGCAACTGGCTTTAAGGCAGAGAATTCCTCGTGTTGACTGTCTTGAATGCAGATGGTAGTTGGCAACTGCTGTAAGAAATTCCCTGCAAGTGTGTGCTATCCCTCTTAGTGAATATCGTTCCATTTTGAGCCTAACTGAAAACTGAAGATAGAAAACTCAGCAATTATTTTTCCCTGCAGTACAATATTTAATATTCTGATTTCATGGCTGTCTGACTACAGTGATTAGGAAGAACATTTTCTTATAGTATTTACAGTACCACAACAATGTATCAGGAGCATCGTGTATCAGCGGAAGGAACTATTATGTTAAAATACGTGCCACTTAAAAACACACCCAATTAAAAAGTAGGATGCTGTTGAGTGTTACGTTTGGTGTAGTCAATAATTGCTTTGTAAGCTTTTTCTTGCCTTTGGCTTTGAAAAGCTATTCAGGATCAAGTAAACAGCCTTGAACTAGAAAGACTTTAATAGGAATGATCTGCAACAGGAGAGAGAACACCTCTGCAACAAAGGCATTTTATGTTTAGAACTGTACTACCGTGTTAAGTCCAAGACAGTGTGGTTATTTTTGCTGGTGGAGAAATGGGAAATACCTGTGTAGTTGCTGATGGTTGTATAGTCCTTCAACTGAAACAAACTGCGCAGTGGTACAAACTCTCGTCCAATAACCTCTGTGTTAAGTGGGGTAGAGACCCCCAGTATTTACAACAGGACACTGGTTAGGAGAAGTAAATAAGGACAGAAACTTTTTCAGAATGTCCCATAATTTTGCTTAGAGAGTTTGGAGAAGTACTATAAATTAAAATGTTTGCTTGTTTTTTCTTTTTATATCAGATAGTATTACTGAAGTCTTCACAAACATCTATGTGACCAGTTTTGGACCTGTTTCAGATACTGATATGGTGAGTTTCTGAATCTTTTGCATATATGGTAAATGGTGTAAGATATATACTATTAACTTCCTTTAAACTTGTATTCTGCTTTTACTTATTATGGACAAATTGGGAGTGATTTCACTGAAGTCAGGAAGTGCCAAATCCCAGTAGTTCTAAAGATGGAAATTGATTTATAGACCTTACATGATAAGTACACTTGTATTAGCTGTTTAGTTTGGACCAGTGAATCTCCTGATTGTCCCCACTGACTGGTTCATATTCTGGAGCAGTCTTGAGATGGGTGAACTGGATTCCTCTTGGATGAAACTAGAGTGAAAGGTGCACTGTAGGAGCACACTTAATGTTGGCAACAGTCTGAGGGACCTGACTGCAGTCAGTCTAAACTAAACTTCTTGAAAGACCTAGCTTGGAAGTTGGGTCATCGGCACCATTGTGGTGTTCTACGGATCTGTCCTTCATAATTTGCGCTATTTAGTAACCATTTAAAGGAAGTCAGTAACATTAAAAAGAAAGAAGCTGTCAGAATATCGCTCTGGATTACAGTTTTTCATGAAAACAGCAGTGGAACAAACTCTGAGGCAAGGGGTCCTTTGCAGGCTCACTGCAAATCATACACAGATTAGGCAGAATGCGTTGCACCAGGGAAAAAGATCTTCATGGATATAACATCTCTGAAAGGAAAGAAGGGAAGGAAAATCTGAAAGTTAACTTATCTGCCCTTGCCATTCCTGCAAGAGATAATTTCCTGCATGAGATTTTTTTTGAAGTGTTTTGAACATTCATGATTATGTATGAGACATACAGAATACTACCTATGTGTATCTATAGGTATTAAAAAATGAATATTTTTAGAAACAGGCAATATTTACCTTTTCTATGAAAACTTTCAGGTTATGCATCATACAAAACAGGAATCATCTTGATGTTACAAGCTAGGCTGCAACGAAACTAAATATTTCATGGTACGGTGTACATTTTAAAAGTTATTTTGCTCACTGACTAACAGGTAGTCATATCTTTGGAGAATATGTTCTGGGTTTTTTGTTTGTTTTTTGTGTATGATAGTTTCAGTTTCCAAGCTTTGTTTCGATTGTGATGAACACGTTATGAGGCTTCAACATGAAAAGTCATTTCATAGGAAAAATAGACATTTATTTTCTTTTTGTCACTGTATATGTTACTGATTCTCTTGAGGGTTTTTTTCCTAATGATGTTAAGTTTCTGAAACAATTCTTACTTTATTTCTAATTATAAAAAACAAGTATCCACAGCTATATACTAAGGTGATATGAACATCTTGACCTTGTTAGTCTAGTATCTCATGACTTCACAGTGTTTACACTTACAGTATTCTTGTGAAATGGGAACATAATATTAACCCAATTTTAAAGATGTGGTCCTGAGGCACAAGGAGACTTATTAGAATATGTTCTGGGTTTTTTGTTTGTTTTTTGTGTATGATAGTTTCAGTTTCCAAGCTTTGTTTCGATTGTGATGAACACGTTACTGAGGCTTCACATGAAAAGTCATTTCATAGGAAAAATAGACATTTATTTTCTTTTTGTCACTGTATATGTTACTGATTCTCTTGAGGGTTTTTTTCCTAATGATGTTAAGTTTCTGAAACAATTCTTACTTTATTTCTAATTATAAAAAACAAGTATCCACAGCTATATACTAAGGTGATATGAACATCTTGACCTTGTTAGTCTAGTATCTCATGACTTCACAGTGTTTACACTTACAGTATTCTTGTGAAATGGGAACATCATATTAACCCAATTTTAAAGATGTGGTCCTGAGGCACAAGGAGACTTATTCAAGGCTGTGCAAGTCATCTGTGCTTAAATGGGAATTTAATGAAAAGCTCCCTGAGCCTCATCCCTAGCTCCTGAAATACTTTTGACATCAATGTGTAAATGCGTGGAGAACTCTGGGTTTCCATTTGCACAGACAGATATGATGGCACAGTAAGGGGTCGGGTCATTTGATGCTACAGCTCTAACAGCTCTGTGCAGAGGTGTTAATCGAAACAGAGTACAGTGCATCAGAACGGCAGCTGTTACTGTAATGGGTAGGTCTATTTGCAGATAAGTAGATAGGTAAGTAAGAGCAGTTTAATACTTACCACTACAAGCTTCAGGGTTAATTTAGCTTGTTCAGTTGATAATTATAAAATCGTTTTGAAACGTATGAGCAGTCAATTAGAAAATTTCAACATGTGAGTTTTGAAATAATAGCTTCCAAACTATCACATATTCTGTCAAACATGAAGGTGACATTAGAGTTTTTACCATGAGCACTCTTTCATTTAGGTATTGCATTACTGAATTGATAATGTAAACTACTATACAGAGGATTTACTGATATTTTCTTCTGTAAATGTTGGAAGCTCCAGAATATTCTCATTTTGTAAGCTTCCTCCTTAAAAGGCTTCATTGGAAGAATAAATTTGACTCTTGCCCATGTCCTTCTAAATCTCCAGAGGATCCCAAACTGAATCTCAGATCTTTTCAGGCAGGTTGGGTCCCAGCCCCTGAGGTCCTCTGCTTTCACAGTGTGAGTGGTGAGGCCCTCAGTCACATCAGGTTTTCAGGATGGACACTACTGTTGCCCAAAAGTCTCAGAGTCAATTGCTGCCAGTAGGATTCCTTCTCCTGGGATTTTTCATAGCAACAAAAGTCAGCAGGCGTATGACTGCACCCCTTTGCATTATCTATTTGCCAGTTTGTTTTTTTTTTTCCCTTTGGTTAGCATCTTGTGAAGAATAACAGTGCTTAGGAGAAAAGCCTGTTGAAAATGGGAAGGGGACTCACTGCCATGGGAGATGATTAATATGTGTTTATAGTATGGAAGAGGGAGGTGGCACACTGAAAATGATGGGTGGATAGGAGCTAAGGACACAGTTGTTGCATAGCAGTGTTGATTCACAAAGTTGATAAAATGTCATTCTCACCTTTGTTGTTGAATCGATAGCAATTTGTGAGGCTTCTGTTTTCATTACTAAGTATAGTAGTTCCCATTAATGATAATATAGCATTGTGTGCAATCTGTGACTCAGTAGGATTGCTGGAATGTAGGTTTTTGTTCATATTCCCTGTATTTTTCCAATATCACAGTTTTTCCAAAAAATAATTAAGTCCAGGGGAATTTGATCTTTGACTGATTTTAGGCTAGCTGAAGTTGTCATTGATAAATTTAGGAGGTAAAAGCTGAGGCTGAGATTTTTCTCCAAATGTGTTGAGTCAAAAACTTTTGATCCTTGCTGTGGATTAACATTTTGACTAAGTTAAAAAGATGCCACTCTCTCTTCTGCCCAAAATAGTCAGCTACCAAATCTGTTGACTCTTGGGCAGAACTCTGTTGCAAACTGCGCTTCAAATGAACTGTTGTGACTAAAATATTGGTGTATCTGTGTTAGCTGTGTCATAAAAATGCTATTGCATGTCAACCACAGTATTTAATGTCAAAGGAAATGCCAATATACAACAGGAATTTTCAACCTTGTTTTGCAAACTAATGAGAATCAAGGAAGGCAAACCAAAACATGGGATTAAACAGATTTTACTTTCACTGTTCTGTCTTTTTGAGCTGTTATTTCTCTGAAATGTTTAAGTTCAGTGTTGTAATGCTATGCCTTACAGGCTTCCAACCAGATCAGTGACACAAGTTTATTTTGACATTAGCCTGAGAGAAGAAAAGCTGCATTGTTTAGAAAAACAAACAAACCAAAAATTGAACAGAACAATTGAAAAACAAAGCATATGTGAATTTTCTAAAAAAATTTAAGGCTAAATTATGATTAAAGAGGCTAATTAAAACATTTGTAATTAAATTTTGTAATTAAACATTTGTAACTAAATATTTAATATTTGAAAATTCTGAGGTGAAGGATAATTTTGGTTGGATTATGATTTGTAGGATAACAAAATGGAAATAATTTCATGTAAACATTAAGAATGATTATTTCTCTGTTTTTTCAAAATGAATTATTTGAAGTCTGGTAGATTGATGTATCTTTAAATATGCTGCTAACCCTGATTTTAGCACTGCAAGCAAGGTACTTTTACAGCTTTTTCTCAGACTTAATTTCTTTCCAGGCTCTCCTGATGCTTTGGCTTCTAAAATTTCTCAGATAGCAATAAGTGCTGCTCTCCTTGATAGAAAAAAAAAAATATAAATAATAAATGAGAAACATATTTACTCCTCAAGCAATGGTTATTATATGTAAGACAGAGCATATAGGCACTGAGAACAGTCTTTCCTGCTTTCCTGCAACACGCAGTTAGTAGCAGGTGGCAGGGCCTGAACTGGTTTTGCTTGAATATTAAAACTAACAAGATTTCTGAAAGTTTTGTGTTTCAACTTTCAACCTTAGCTTTTCATTGTCTTTGGGGAGTTTTGTTTACTGTGGTTACATCTTTGTTTTCCCCTATTTGTTTGTACACAACAATTTGTCCTAGTTTCTTGGTGATAGACCTCTATTTTTTCACTCTAGAGTAAAGAAACATGAACATTTCTCTGTAGAGATGGTCATACCCAGCTAGTTCATCGCTACCCACACATCCATCTTGTCAGTTTTCAATTAAACTTTCAATAAGCGTTTCTGATTTTTCAAGTATAGCTGGAACAGAAATTTCAATGAAGGCCGAAGGTCAAATCCAGAAATGACTGAAAGGATTGTTACATCATCTCTCACTAGAACTGAGGATGGTTCTTTAGAGAGAGTGGCTGAACTGGGAACCGCGTTTTTTTGTGTCCGTTTTTCACATTTCCTCATTCCATTTTGTATTTCAGATTTTGTTTTTTTCTATGAAACTTACTTTTAGCTGTTTCAAAGTTTAATTATTAGCTGTGGTTCGTTACCTGGAGAGAAGCTTTACAGGGGTTGTATGATACGTAAGTCAGGCCAGAATAAGGGAATGCACCAAGATGATTTTTTCACAAAGATTAAAAAAAGCACTGCAATTACTTTACTGTAGCTTTTATTTTAACTCGGTAACAGA